GGTCTGTATGGTTGGTTCTGAATCGGCCCTTGATTCTGCATTGGTGGGGCCCGCGGCTGAAAGGCGAACCCTGGTGGAATCCGCTGGTTCTGGTTCTGCACTGGCCGATAATTATTTTGCGGAGGGTTCAGGACGTTGTTGTTCCTCCAGGAGAGATTCGGGTGGTTCCTATACCCTGGGTTGTACGTGTTGGAATAGGGGTTGTTGGCGACATAATTCACATCTTCTATCCCTTCGTCAACAGCGTACAAAGCAAGTTCGCCTTGCTGCACACCTGATGTGCTAGTGGATGAGACAAAGCTTGCATTAGCGAGTTTCGTCTTTAGCGCGGTGAGCTCGTCTAGCACCTGCTGCAACTTAGAATCGCTATCTCTCCTGGGCATATCTCTTACGGACTCCAATGGAGAATCTTCTTCTCTCGCCATTTGATCAATGTGTTGTTCAAGATCCGTGAAGGACATGTGAGAAATACTTCCTCCGCAGGCGGCTCGGATCAATGTTCGGGTATCCGGCCGTAGACCTCTGATGAATGTGTTGATCAGGTAGTTCTTGTCGAGGCCATGGTGAGGGCATGATTTTTGGTAGCCCTTGTATCTTTTCCACGCTTCGTGCAGACTCTCCCCGTGATCTTGCTTGAACGAGTGAATATTGTTCAAAGCAGCTTGAGTGCGATGTGGGGAGAAGAAGCGTTGCATGAACTGACTCTCTAGTTGGTCCCATGTATGAATGGAATCTGGTTCGAGTTCATAGAGCCAGTCGAGCGCTGCATCGATCAACGTCCACGGGAAAGCGATCAGGCGGATTGCATCTTCGGTTACCTGATCGGCTCTCTTGATGGACCGGCACATCATCTTGAACCTCGTGAGGTGTGCGTTGGGATCTTCGTTTGGCCTACCCCGGAAGGCCATGGCGCTCAACATTTGGATAGTAGCGGGAGTGAGCTCGAATCTTGTCATGTCAACCTCCGGCATCCGTATGCCAGACATGAGCTCGGTGTGTTTCGGGGCATTGTACTGCGCAAAGGTTTCTTCATTTATATGCTCATCTCCATGTGCGGGTACAACGCCGCGTTCTGCCATCCTCTCTCGGTGTTGTTTTCGGTTTTGTTTAGCAGTTTTCTCGATTTCAGGGTCAAAAGGAACTAAGTTTTCTGACCCAGCACTTCTTGTCATACACTGGAGAAATCCTGCGTACAAAACAAACGGAACAACGACGAGAAAAGGTGAAGATCAAATTGAACAAAAGAAAAGAAAAAATGACCTAAACCGAACAGTTTTCTAATCGTATCGCTAAAGCCGTTTGCGTCCCCGGCAACGGCGCCAAAAACTTGATGTCGATCTAGGATGTGATCTAATCTCGTTTAATTTCCTAGATACAACTACCGCAAGTGTACGGGTCAATCGTAGTATTCTAGGGTCGATCACAGGGACACAGATGGATTCAACGATATCAATTACGGGTTCTACTCGGTTTTTGGTCGGGGTAATAAATTGGTTGGTGGTGACGGTGATTAAACTTAAATACAAATCAAAGCAAATATAAACAGTGATTTTTAACACAATTTAATTAAGACATTGTAGGTGTCGGGATTTTACGGGTTATGTAAGGATCGCTTCTAAAAATATATTTCGGTAACTATGATCATAATTTAGGAAATTCAAGTGCGCATTTGCAAATGATTATTCTCTCGAATATCACCTTATATTCTAGGAATTTTCTTCTACCGACCTCTCGGTTCTTAATAGATTAAAATTCCTAAAAATCATTAAGTTTGCTATCACAATTTCCAGGCAATACAACCATCTCTCGATACGAAAATTACCCATTCGAATAAATGATTTCCGAATTCGAATTCCATATCTCTATGTGAATTTAAATTCTAATATCAACAATTCAATTGGCCAAAAAGAATTGCAGCATTAAAATCCATTTATTCGATCCAAATTATAAAATCGTAGTTTACCAAAATTAATTAAACACGTACGATCCTTACAAACCGTTCAATCCCTAACCTACAATGATAAAACTACTCACACATGATAAAAATAAAAACAACAGCAAGAATTAAACAAAAACCCATAATATAAATGAGAATAAGAGTAAGAAATGGCTTAGTTAATCGCAGTGTAAACTGATCCTTTTTCTTCTTGCTCTTACTCCCTTTATTCTCCCATAATCGAACTCTCTCTATTCTCTTCTCGATTTACTCCGTCTGTCGAATATGTTCTGTCTTTTGTTGAAAACTCGATATCCTCTCTTCTCTGCCCTGCTTCTTCATTTAAAGAGATATGCACGAGTGAACGTCATTTTCTTTGTCGCTGGAGCGGCGCAAAACACGCGGAGTTTGTCGGACAACTCGTCGAAGAAGACAAAGGGGCGGCTGTACAAGGTGCGCTTTTATTTACTTTATATATATATTATACTATATCATATATATATAGATATATATTTATTAATACATATGTATATTATATACACATGTACGTACTATATGTATACAATTATATATACACAGAAGAAATATACACATACATATGTTCATATATATATATAATATACACATGTATATATTATACGTATAAATATCCATATATATATATAATCATTAATATATATATATATATATATTTATTAATACATACATATATACATACGCATGCAAACTATATACATATATACATATAATTATATGTGTATACAAATATATACAAGTGTGTACGTATATGTACTTATATTTATATATATTTGTAAACTTTATACTAAGCACTCATATATATATATATTATATATACATATATATTATGCGCACCACCATATATCATATATATATATATATTATATCCTACGCACTCATACATATGTTTTATATTATATACAAACACACGATGGCGCTATCGTTGTGTAACGATAGCGCAATCGTTCAAAATTTTTTTTTTTTTTTTTTTTTTTTTTTTTTTTCCACAATTTTCGCATTTTTTTTTTTTTTT